CTATATGCATATCATTAGAGAGACTGAATTAATGTAGAAATTTATAACAGTTAAGATTAAAGATAGGACAGACGACTTAGAGGTACTTCAATAAATATTTGAGGTGCTTTACGATTCAATGCCAGAAGAGATGGATAAGTTAAAAGAATTTGTAGGTCATGAGTTATTTGAGATTTATTACAAATTAGCAATTGAAGTTGATAATGCAACTGGAGAAAAAGAGACTGCATTAAAGTATCTCAATCTATGCCAAAATTAGTATGTGAAAATAAAGGGAATTGAAGATGATATGGTTAAAATGAAGATTACTGAAATTAAAAAGTAATAGAGATAAAGAGATAAAAAGTAAGCTTTAAATAAAGCTTTAGATAAAGAAAGTAAAGGAGATATCTTGAGAGAAAAAGCTTCGTATAAGAAGGCTTTAAATAATTATAAGAAAGCTATTAAATACAGTAGAGATGTTGATGTGGAAACTGAGGCAAATTGTTAATTCAAAGTAGGTAAATTATATTATGATGCTTTCAGAGACTATTAGTAGGCTATTAATCATCTTGTAGATTTTTAGTTGCTTACCTTTCTATTAAAGTTTAGAACTGATTAGATCTCTAAGAGATTCTAAGAATCTAAGAAAATTATATCTGGAATAAAGAAAATGTTTTAAAGTCAAACTTAAAAACTTAAACCCCCATCTTACCCGAAGTTAATGAGTAAAGAATAGGAGATTGAGAAATTGAAAAGAATCATCTAGGAGTTGAATGAACTAGTTGCTAAATTAGAAATAAGTAAATTTATCGAATTTTTGTTGAATTAATACCCTCCTAAGTGCATGAACGATTAAAATTAGGAGGAAATTAGAAGTATGAAAAATCTATGTTTCGACGACAAAAGAACCAGGAAAAGCTTACTCAGGGTGATAACATACTATCATCCTGATAAATAGCCATTAGAAGATGAGTTAAACTTAAAAATTAGCACTGAAATTACAAAAGTCTTGAATGATATATTAAGGAAATATAATTGATAATACTAAAAAATTTTTGATAAAATTGATTCATGGGGTTTTGGGGTTTTGGGGT